TATGTATGATTTCCCGTATGACGGTAAAAACCCACCGTGTCGGAACCCGCTCATGAGGAAAACAAATGCATCTTTTAGGGCAGAATTCAAGTAATGCAACAAATTCTGAGGTCAACGGGTAACATGTTGTGTACTGTTTCTTTGCAACCACTTACAAGAATAGAATATTCCTCAATGCAATGAGCCCAAACATATAAGAGGTAACTAATGTATTTTACAGTACAATAACAGCAGCACAGATTTTATGACTTTACTTTTTTGTTGTTTTTTAAGAGCCAGAGAAAACCTCTGTAAAAGAAAGAAAAATATAAATGACATTGGCAAAAATGTTCGGAGTGTAAAGACGTGAGAGTTGTATCTTGGCAAAGAGAATGTACAAAGGTGGACTGCATTGAAATGTAAAACTCAGAAATAAGAGGAATGTAGCTCAACACTGAACACGTTCAATAGGACATTCATTCAAACTTTATGTCAGAATCTATAACGCCTCTTGTTTTTAAAATCACTTGTGAATGTGTGTGTCCTATTAAAGTGCCTGAATGATAAATACAAACATAACAATGTAAAGAAAACAAACAAAAATGACCTGCATCCTCGGTAGTAGTGTACAGTACATATAGAGCTTTGGAAGCTTGGAGTTGGAACGCAGTAAGCCACAGGACAGAGGGCGCGACCACGGCGCCAGCTGAGGTAGTAGTTTGACTGAACACGAACTTCCCAGGGACCCATGGTAGCAGCTTGAAGAGAGAGGTGTAGCTACCTGGAAATCAGAGTCACTGGGCTGGCGGAGTGGACCAGAAAGGAGAGGGGACTGTGGCTACAAAGTCCCCTCTCCTGTCACTGAAGGTCCATGTGCAAATGATTTTTTTTTTTTTTGTCCCCTCAAAGGAAGTGTAACTGCTCCTATGAGTATGAACTGTGTTAAATCTGCTAGTCCACTGACGCAACAGATAAAATCTCTTTACAACATGCTCTTATGTCATCATCCATACAATAAGAAACATTCTCATCCCTGTTCCCAAGGTTTTCTAGGCTGTTTAAAAAAAGACGTTGAAGAAGTTTTTGTTGTATTTAACAAAGCAGCTTGTGTGCGAAGCTGTTCGACGCAGATCGAGCTGAGAGGTTCTCTGTGAACAGGCAGCCTGATGGCGCAGTGCAGAGGTTAATGATGCTGCGAGAAGCCAACTGGATTCTGCCCTCACCCGATTGGCCTGGACCCACTAGGGCAGCTTCATGAATAGACCATTATCAATGGAGGGGACAGGCATAGGGCAGGGAAACTGGAAGAGACTCATGTCTGCTGTGAGGGCAGCCATGGCGGCAGGATCGTGCTCTATCTGTGTCCTCAGAGCAGGGTCAATCTTCTCCAGCCGTCGCTTGATCCTCTTTGCCTCCCTCTCGCGGATCAGCCTGGCCTGCCTCTTCTCTGGTGTCTCGTTGGCCCTCTTTAATCGCATGGCCTCCCTGTCCCTCTGCAGCCTGCGTGCCCGCTGCTCCTCCGTTTCCTGCATCCTCTGCATGCGCTTGGCCTCGCGGTCCCGCAGCCGCCTCAGCTCCCTCTCTTCTTCTGTCTCACACGCCCGCTTGTTCTTCTTTGCCGTGCGCTCACGCTCCAGACGCTGCAGTCGGGCCTCCAAGGGCTCGTTCTTCCGACGCAGAGCCCATTTTCGCATCGGTGACTGGGCAGCCACTAGCTGCTGATAAGCCACGCAGCTGTTGCACACCAGCAGCACTCCGGCAGGATACACCGGCATAGGGCTCAGGATATCAGGGATAGGAGGAAGGCCTGAAGAGGAGGAGTTGAGTGCATCAGGGATTGAGGCGAGGGATGGCCCTTCGGAGAGGAGACTATCGGGCAGTGAGGGAAATGCGGGTCCCTGGTCCGTGCACGGTCCTGATCCTGGCCCAGGGCCATGACATGGTCTGGGGCCTTGACACTGGCTTGAGATGTGACCCTGCCCCTGGCAGGAACGTTGGGCTTGACATAGGTTGGGATTGGGGTTAGTTGCTTGACACGGGCAAGGACCCTGACACGAACTGGGACTGGGGCCTGGTCCATGGCAAGAGTCAGTGCAGGGGCCCGGGCTGCTCATGGGGCTGCTCGAGAGGGAGTGGGACATGGAACTGGTGTCCCTTCCCCCAGTAAAATCCATCCTAGTTGTGTCGAGGACTTCTTTAAGCTTCTCCCTACGACAGGATACATGAATCAGGTAAACATCCTTTTTTTTTTTTAAGTGGTCTGGACTCTTCTAGGGAAGCATTAGATCCCTGATAGAAGGCTTGCTCCTGTCTAAATCTTTAATGTGGGGATCATAGAGCCTTTCACTTGAGGTCTCCTAGACTAGATTTGTTTCCTGTTAAAAATAAACGTATTCATTTTATACTGCGTCTAAGTAAAATGCTTTTAGCTCTCTCACAAACTAACTTTCTTCTGAGTTTTGAACAGCTAGGTGGGGTTTCTGTGCACACAGCCAACGCGTGCCTGAGATCACGATATCTGCGATATACTCTCTCGCTTACGTTACACAGAGACAAGAGAAGGAGAAAAAAAAAAACACTAAACTATCTGAAACTAAGTGTTCAGAGCAGTCTGAAATCCGAGATTTCACCCCACAGGGATTTTTTTCCACCAGCCTGCAACAAAGGCTTCATACATCAGACTGACAGGCATTGTTTTTGCCTTGAATTTTTGTTAGCCTGGCTTGTATGGTCACATATTTTAGGCAACAGTAAAATTTAGCTTCTGTCAAGCTGCAATGGGAAGAGATGACTGATTCCGTGTTAGTCGTTTCCCAAACGTTTTTGCTTCAGAGTGGAATAAGGGCCATGCGTCAAATGAACTCTGGCTAGCTCTCTGGAGAGAAGTTTAACAGGCTGTTAACAGCCTCAGAGGAGGTGACTGTTCAGAAAACACTGGTTGCCAGATGCTGGTTATGTTACTTTATTGTAGCTGGCTGGAACAACATGAAACAGCTTTTCCACGTACATCTAAGATACGCCTTTATTTGTCTCTCTTTAGAATAACAAGTATTTATGTTTTATTTTTCCAAACTTAGCAGCAAATGCTTCTGCCAACTGTAATGCTTCATGACTTTTCTCTTCTCTCCTTTTTATCACTTCACACTGCTTCTCCTTCTACAATGCGTCCTGACCTTGTCAGTTCTGTTTAAATTAAAAATGTAATGGTAGTTGCTAAGCAACACGCAAGTTTATTTCCATTAAATCTGTCATTGCAGTACTAATTTTATTCATCCCTCATGCTCTGCATTCTGTCTAATCCCACACTTGGAAAACCATTGCTCTTTCTCATTCTATTATAATGTATTAAAGAGAAAATGTGACTTCTTTTTACTCAATTTATATTTTCAAAGGTTCGACAAAAGAAAAGGTTTGTCTTTGTCTACACTCCTGCCAGAATCAATTTTTAGATACTAGAAAAAGTATAAGGCCTCATTTTAAATAGCTCATCCTTCTGAATCAGTGGTGTCTTTTCACATTGTCATAAAGGGACCACATATGAGATATTGTTTTAAAATTTTTAAGATAAATGACATAATTAAATAATAAGCACTAAATAAACACAGAAACTTCAGGGCCCAGTTAGTATAATTATATCACAACATCTATATTCAATCTGCATTTAAGACCTGAGATGAGAGCTACAGCAGAGATGAGCTCAACCTGTTAAAGTTGTTGGTGTCTGTGAAGCGTGCACCACAGACAGCGCAGTTGGAGAGGCGGTCCTCGGAGTGGATGAGAAGATGGCGTCCAAGTGAGCCGGGCGAACTCAGGGCTCGCCCACACACTGGGCACACATAGCTCTTGGTGTTGCTCATCATAGTCGTGTGCTGTTACAAGACAGCAAACAGAGATGAGTAAAGCAGCAAACTTAAAAGATATGATAACTTTGTATTGCAGGCGATTATCAGTTTGCAATATGTTTGCAAAAGAAAAAAATAACAAAGGAAATATAAATTTAAAATATTATGAACTTGAAAAGCAAAATTATAATATTTAAATTCATGTCTGCAACAGTTATAATTGATGCTGTGGTTGTTATGCATGGTAGTACAAATGCAAACAGCATATAGAGTTTATACAACGTTTACATAAGAAAAAGGCTGGGAGGCCACTCTGAACCAAATTTATTACGACAATAACAATTATAGTTAACGCTCGTGGCACTATTCCCACAATCCATAAAAACAAAACTATGCAGCTATATGACAAAGTAGACAGATTGCAGAGCAGATAGGCTGCTGCCACATGGCTTTGAAAATTGCATTTCTTTTTTTGGTTCTGTACTAGATCGGGGCAGGTGAGACGATGTTATTCTTACCTGGTAGACATGGGAGATGAGCTTATCTGGGCTGCTGAAATCCAGCGGGCAGAGAGGACAAACAAAGTTGTTGCTGTGCTCTCCCCCTTCCTCGCTCTCCTGAGGAAAGTCAAGAACCATTTAAACCCGTTTCACAAGCACATCTAACACTACATTCAAATGATTTTACACCTACATCAAAACGTCTTACAGTTGTAAATCACAAATCTGAATTCTGAGTTATTTATTAAATTAAAATTTCCAATTTGTATGATGGCAGTTAAAACGTAAGCACCACACTAAAACGGGCCTTGTTTTGATCTGAAGCATTTTCACAAGTGGATGAAGATGTGTTGAGTGTATGGCTGAGCAAAATTCCCACAAGTCCCGGTGACTCACTGACAGTGACATCACACTGTGTGCTGAGACAGATGTGACTCACAGAACATTTTCAAACAGAAGGTGCAGGCAGAAAACATATTGGTTGAACCTGGGGGTGTCTAATAACTCAAAGGGCACTTTTGAATAAAAATATTGGGCCAGACCTCTTCATCTTTGAATTCGGGTGTTCTCGAACCATTGCACAGGTCTATAAAATCAAACAGCCATATGGTCTGCCTTTACAAACATTTGTGAAAAAATGGTTTGCTCTCTGAATTCCTGTGTGTTGCTATAAAATGACGCCAGCGTTGCAAGGACAAGTCAGTTCATGAAATTTCTTCCCTCAAAAACAGTCACGATCAGCTGTAAGCTGTATTATTGCAAAGTGGAAGCTTTTAGGAACCACAGCAACTCATCTGTGAATGTGGCAGATCATGTAAAGTTACAGAGCAGTGCATAAAATTCACCAACGCTCTGCTGATTCAGTAACTGCATGTGGTTTCATGGCATGGGTTTCCATGGCTCCTGTAGATGTACTAAGTAGGTAGCCCACTACTTTTTTTTCCACTTTTACTATATTAGTGATGTCTTTTAACTGATTATTTATCATTTTCACTTTTATCTTTTCAAAGCAGTAAGACAAAAATGTCAAAAGTATATTATGTTAATTGTTATTTTGCATACAAATAGAAAGATTTTGGTGAAATATCACTACTTCCTTTCAGGTTATCTCAGGAGAAATATCTGCAATATTCTCTAGCACAGCACATTAGCTTTAAATTCACAGATGCATGAACCTAATTAAACATCATAAAACTGGAGCAGATGACAGGGTGGGCATCTAGATGCAAATTACAGTTCACATTGACTTGTTTTTCATGCACGACTGATGGATGAGAGTTGATAAATTCTTCTCACGCCTACCAACTCGTTTATAAACCACATATTTCATAATCAAACAGATGCAGGGCAGATACTTGTCTTCATTTTTTTTTTTTAAATCTCTGTCATGTTTTGTTTGTGTGTTTATTCCACACCACAACGTTACCAGTATGGTCTCTTCTAGTGTAATGCATAAGTTGTGTTCAAACTAATTGATGATGTGCCAAGAAGTTGCTTTCAAAGAAGTACACAGTGAGAAATAGATAAAATCTTTTTCCAGTTATGAGAACCTTACCAAACCTTTGTGCGTGTTCCTTTTTTGTATTTGTTAGAATGAAATAAACATTATTGCCATTCAAAGCACCATCATAAAGAAACACTAGAGTGAAGGTGTCTAAATTAGCAGCCCTCTCACCTCTTTGACTCCTGCTCCTTGTAGGAGACACTGCGTTCTCTTGGTGGTCATGTGGTCGTCAGCAGAGGTGTTGGAGGACGAGTCTTCGCCGTGGTTTTCTGGGTCACTATCGCTGTCTTCTATGGAGGCAAACACAGCCCTATCAATACGGACAGACAACAAAACACAGGGCAGGGCTTATTCTCACTAACACCCCTCATTCCAAGGACATTCCTACAGAGTCCAACAGTCCTTCCCTGACCCTTCCCTCCATCCTGTACCTGAGAAGCTATCCTGCCCTTGGACTTCCTGGGAGTTGTTGCTGCAGCATTCACTGTCCTCTGTGAATTCGTCTCTGCCATCCATGTTAATAGTGTGCTGGAGTCCTGTGATGGTTGAAGTGTGGAATGGCCCTGGAGATAGAAAGACAGTAGAAGGACCGTCGGTAAGATTCTTGAAAAGTTGACTTTCTCACTTGTGGTACATGTAGAAAAAGCCAACAAGCTCTTTCAAACTAGGCTTCAAGACAAGACTGGAGTTGACCTTCTCATAGTCTTGAGACACAACATTAAGACCTGTCATGCCAGTATTAACAACATGTTGGAAATGGACACCAACAGAAACTGTACTACAGGCTAAATCAGCACTCCATCCTTCTAAGATTGGGAGCTACGTTCAGCAAGAAGAGTAGGAGTGGGCCTGTTTCCAGATAGACCCTTGTGGAACAAAGGAAAATGACGAAAGCTGGTAGTTTTGGAACTCCAGTGGCAGGAGGCGGCTGCAAGATTTGCTAATCTTAGACGCCCAACAGCAAAAGTGGATGAAGTGAGAAATATTGAATAAAGGGACAATCAACTGGAAACGCACTCAGGCACATCATGACTTAAATCAAAGTGAGCCTTTGTCAAGGCAGGTATACTTAGAGACACAACCAGGTGCTGAAATCTCTGTCTATCAATGCCAAAAGAGCAGCACCACTGCCGCTCCAAGAACAATGACAAAAATACCCTCCATCACTGACCAGGAACAGACTTTTGAAGGAGGTTGTTACTAGAAAATGTTCTTTGATACAGGTCAACAGCTTATAATCCCATCAGAAATAGTTGCTTCTGCCCAAAGACCAGATCTGGTACTTTGGTCCACAACTCTGTATTGTCTACTTTATAGAACTAAAAGTACCATGGGAAAAAGCTGTGATACACTCAGCTGAAATCAGATGCAGAGCATTGAGGCTGGATAGCAACAGTTTAGCATTCCATAGTTAAATCTATTAAACACTTGGAGATGCACAGCCAAACCCTATGCCACCACCTTCAAGGTGATTCCAGGGATTGCTTAGCGCTGCAGTCAATGACTGTGGATGAGGAGGAAAGACCCCAGCTGTGCGCCAAGATGTTAGGGACACACACCCAGATCTGATTCGCCGGTACAGGGTGTATTGTCAGCAAAAAGCCCCAACACCTAAAGATGCTGAGAAATACAAATGAGGATGTGTCCCTAACATATCCTGGACATTGATAGAACAATAATCTTATACAGAGGACAACTACTACCATCTGGTTCTATGTGTCGAAATCTTGGGCCATAACAGTGTGCCTTGATAGTACTGCAGGTATACTTTTTGTGCAGTTAAATATTAAAAAGTCATGACTGACAGTCACTGGCCTTCAGCCTGACTGCAGCTGTTGTTGGGAGGAGTTAAAAATGCCAACATGTTGCCAAGGAAGCTAAAGAGGCACCTGGAATCCTGACATAACTTCAGAGAGAAATCTCCACTTCAGCAGATGCTGGATCAGAACCAGGGACAACAAGACTGCCTGTTGGATTGTGTATGACAGAATCTGATGAATTTAGTGCAGCCTATAGTGAAGCACAAAAAGAACTGAAGGCCTTTTGCTCAAAAATATCTTCATCTGACTGCACAATCAGAAGAACTGATGATATTCCAAATGAGGCTTCTTATATAGATATACTCTGAAATTTTATCCTGCCTTGGGCACAAAAAGAAAACGATTCTGAGCAACTGTCTCTACCCATACATTGTACCCGGCATATGAAAGCTTTATCTCCATAGCAACTTCATTACAGCATCTGCTACTGTTGTGTATCACAAGAAGGTATAAATCTTTAAATCTTTTAATAAAAGTGGTTTCACCTATTGCTGAAGTTCCATGGTTTTATCACACTTAATGTGGATCACGCCATCCAACTACAATTAAAAAATCTTGAGATTATTGCAGAAATATAACACGCTAATGAAAACAAAACCTATAATCAGAGCAAAACAGATAGAAAGCTGTCCCAGAGAGTAAATTATTGAAACCATTCTACCTTTTTCTTAACACTCTGGGGGCGCGATCAGCTTGAGAAGAACTTCTTAGCAGATTCATCTGGTTTTATATGACCTATACAACAAGCAGCAGGATTCATACAAAAGCAGCAAGACAAGCCCAGTTGCATATATGCATGCACATTTACTTCACTTGCATCCCAACCCCCACTATTTTTACACACATATACAATCACAGATACATGCTAGCTGTTCCGACAGCCATGCTGCAGTCCCACGGGGGTAGCAGCCTGCACTGTTATCCTCCAGCTAACTGCCTAGCTGCTCCGTTTCTCTCTCTCTCCTTCAGTACCACCCACACACTGAACAGCCTGGCTCGCCCTCTGTCCTCCCAGCTTATATATGGAGCTCTGTCTACTTCTATATCTTTACCATCAGCTCTGAGGGGGAGGATAAAGCTTTGCACCATGACAGCCCATATGTAGCTCATTTTACTTGCCGCGATGCCACACTTTATTGTACACAGCGGCTCTTTTTGGCTGCAGGATGCGATGCAATCCCTTCACTTTTCTTCTTATTACACTGGACTCCGCAAACGCTCATTCAACTGCCAGCACTGCTCCTTTGGATGCAGTCTTGGTCCTCTGGCATTCACACATAGGAACATCACCACTTGAGATAGCGAAAATTAATGATAGCTTAAAATCCAATTTTCTTCCCTTGTGTGCTCCCTCTCCATTTACACAGATCAGAAGATGGGAGAGAGAGATCCTGACTTCAGTTACCTGAGACTGGCAGAAGTAATTACAGCATTCATCACAATCCTGAGGTACTGTGCACGGTGCACAGACACACACTTTCTCTTTTACTGTGTGTGTGAGCAAGACAGAAGTATAATCTTAAAGCTAGTCATTTGGCTACTTGTGAGAAGTTGGTATGTGAACACAGTTTGGGCACTTTTCCCACAGAAATCCAAGCATTCGTTAGAGTGGGTCCGAGTATTGAACTGTGAACTACTACAACAGGCTGGCTTCTCGGCGCAAAGCCAATGATTGATGTGTGAGAGATACCCATCCCCCCACCGCTACGGTTCTGTCTGTACATCTGTCTCTCCTTGCTCCCCCCCGCCGCCACCATCACCACTACCCACCCTCCTCGCTCCCTCAGTCTCTAGCACTGCGATGTTATCTCTGAGTCTGTGTGTCTGTAGGCAGGAGGTGACGCAGTGTCTGACTGAATCCAGACAAAGAGACAAACTCATCAGCCAAGAGACACACACAAGAGGGAGAGGGCTGGTTGGGGGGGGCGGGCCGGGGGTGGTAGGGTGACGGAGGGGTAGCGCACAAAACAAAACAGACAAAAGACAGAATGCCAAAACTCTACTCAAACACAGAGCAATGGGGGTCCTGTTGAATTCAAAGGCCCCTCCTTCTCCTTTTCAGCAGCCATCCCCTCCAAAAACGCACACATGCAGACACACAACACTGTCTGAATCTGCAGAAGTACTGGGGCCCCCCCTCTTACGTCCACAGACTTTCTGGAGAACAAGGACGGTGGGCCAGACATCTGATCAGTTCTCACCATGAATAACCTACATGTTTAGATTAGGATACAAACACCTTGTAGCCACACGAGACTCAAAGTTGGATTCATAACAGCCCCCCCACCTGAGAACTCAATTTCATAGTTGGATCAACAATACATATAAAGTGTGAAATATTCTGAAATAACACCTTATTTGTTATAGTTCATACTAATAAAAGGTTTTCAGAACTTCTACATTTAGGTACAGAAAAATTATGAAACCAAAACCAAAGCCTCACATATACTGTTACACAAATATACTGTACTTCCCTGACAGGCATCCACTTGACACCACAAGGGTATGCACCACCACCTCCAAACAAAATACTTTTATGTAATGCATAAAAATCTTGAGTATTGTTGTACATCAAACTTAACAGCTAGACAGACACCGCTGTTGTATCATTGTCTGGAATTCCCTGTGTATGTGTGTGTGTGTGCGTGAGTACTACTGAGTGTGTGCATTTGTGTGTGTGTGTGTGTGAGCATGTGCATGTGTGTCAGCCCGCTTGCCTGTCAGACTGTCTCCCTGCCTGTCTGGTCTGTCAGTCTGTCTGGTCTGACCCACTCAAAGGGGACAGCTCTTTGAATGCAATTCATACCTCACAAGAAAAGACAGGTAAAACAAATCATGGTGAGGAAGAATGAAAGTTGGTGTGCAAAAGGTGTTCTTCTGCACTCACACTCACACTCACACTCTCGTGCCATGGATCTGGGTAAGAATTTAAAAAAATATATTATACAACAGTCTTGGGGCCTCCTGAGGCCTTTCGCTCACTCTCAAAGGTGTTTCAGAGCAACAAATGAGCTCATTAGCTCACAGGGATAACTGCGGTCTGCAGCAAGTGTGAGATGCATTTCTCCAGAAGTTTAAACAAACTATCTTTAGAAAGGAGGGTCGCAGCATACTTCAGTAGATTACACTGGGCAATCCCCTTCAGTGGACAAAAACTAGCTTAAGATAAGAGGTCAGCGGGGTAAGCACTGACAAGAGCATCCTGGTAAAAGATGAGTCACCAACAAAATATCTACATTAGAGGGTCTCCCAAGAGCTCCTGAGATCTGCTTCAATAAATTTATCTGTGCTTTATAAAAATATGACACATTTTAAAATAGAATTTGGTCAATAAATATCAGTAATCCTTACTGTCAGTATGCATTACACTGTAAGCGACCAGTAAGCCCAAGGTCCCTTCTTTAAATGGAAGAATTTATTATTTAGATAAAAAATTATTTAACAGATGAGCAGCAAACCATCACATATAAACAACAGAAACCAGATGTTTGTTTATTCAGATGATTGCTTACCATTAAAATAAAATCTTAATTAAAATCTTAAATTATTGTTTAGGATGGGAAACTAAGATGTTGAACAGAATTAGAAAGTAAGCATGAAAAGTGTTTGTGTAGCAGAAAAATATTAGACGTATCATTCAATAAAGGAAGAAAGGGGGAAATAACAGAAACACTCTTGCATACAACGCAGGGGAAGTCTTGCTGCTTGTGTGCTCAGTAATGCTCTCCTGCAATCTTTTCCTAAATCTGAGCTGTCAGAGAAAACTGAATCAAGTGCACACATAGCTACTGTTTGTACAAGCTGAAACCTCTGTCCCTTCTGTTCATGGTTTAGTCATAGGTGGGGTTTTTTTTTTTGTTTTTTGTTTTTTAAATGCCTCATACTTTTTTTTTTTTTTTTAAAAACGAGCAGATAACTGACAAAAATAACATCTCAAAACTGAAACCAGAAACATGGTTAGCCACAAGCCTTGATACCTAAATTAACTGAAAGATTCTTTCACACAACATTTCTAGTCAATATAAGCTTGTCGGCCTTAAAGGAGAGATATTTATAAAAAAAAAATTTAAGCCTGTAATCAGCACCAACAAGTAATAAGCTCCACTATTAAAATACAAGTGATAGTGGCTACTTAAATTATTTTTAAAAATGTACCAGGAGTGTGCTCTTTCACATATTATGTAACACATTCAGTTATTTGTCATTACATGCTGCAATAGTGTAGCTTGCATTGTTATAAGCTTGTGTACCTGTATGTGTGTGAGTACTTTGGCAGGTGTTTGTCTGTCGGTGGGTAGCTTGTTGTTGTGATTTGGCACTGTATAAATAAAATTGAACTGTGAAAGACAGTGCCAACAACAGTACTAATCACACACACAAAACTTTACAGATGAGATCTAAATGAAGCCGAGTTTGAGATTGTGTGTGGTGCGGCTCCCCGAGTACTGAGCATTAAAGTGTAGTAATGCCTTCTGATCACCAGACGAGGTTTTTCCTGGCTCAAAATTGGCCTTTTGGGGATGATGCCACATGCAGGTAAGGTAAGAGTATTGGGTATCTTACATATCTTAGTTATTTTTAAACAACTGATAAATGAAAAAGCGAGTCGGGTTAAAGACTAAATTTAACCCTACATAAAAACTGACTGATAGTTTTATCACTGTGCGGGTGGTTTTTCTGTGGTGTGGTAAACACTAAAATTATGCAGGAAAAACCTTGCAAGATGGTCACTATTGATTTTCTAGTCTGTTGAGTGCATCTGACCTGAGCTTGCTCTCACTGCATTTATTGCCCATTTTATGCCCGTTTCTTTTGTTTTCATATGTATATCTGTAAATAATAACTGTGGTCAAGTGGGACCGCACTAAGATTGGATCAAAGTAGCTGCATCACCCGTCAACACGCTGGCATTAAGTATGCATGGTAGTTATTACTGCATTATTACCAAGCATGATAGAGTAGCTATTATTGGTTTCTACTTGTGATTCTGTGTGTGTCATCATGGTAAAATGTACCATAGAGATACCTCAAACTGAATTTCGAAAATGCTGACAGTTGTTTGTATATGTGTCTGTGGGCAAATTTTGCCAGTGCAGTAATGTCACAAAAGCTGTAAGGCGCTGACACAAAACATTACATATCTGTATTCTTCAGCGAAATAATGGTTAAGTCAGAAGATGGGTGTGGTCCAACTCATGAGTGCTGAATACTTAGTACTAATGAGTCTAAATGTCAGTATTCTGGCATGTGTCACAACTGGTGTGATCCCACTGCAAGATGGTCTCTAGTTATAGGACTCATGGGCAGGATCACACAAGTTTACCAGCTTGGCATCAACTACAAACCTGCCACATTTCATGGCTTTATCTGTTATTTTGGCAAAACCTGTTCCCAAACATACTCATTTCGGCACATTCCAAAAAGCTTTTTACCTTCAATATGAAGAAAAGTCACCAGGACTGTAATATTTAAAAAAAAATTAACCAGTAGTCTTGGTAAATGGGGTTTGATTTACTCAAACTTAAAATACATGTTTGTTTATCAAATAATCAAAGAATTCTGATAAGGAAGTTACCACTCTTTGCATTGGCTCTATGTGGACCAATCACACTTACAGCCACCTCACAAAATCCAACTTCCACCCGTGAAAAAACCCCCCAACCCAAACCCAAAACTCAATGCATGCACAAAAGCACCTGCCAAAATACTCAAAACTAATTCTGTGGTAGTTCCTGCAACAGTAGGTATCCTGGGACTGCATTTTTAAACTATGATACACATGCATATCTTTTTGGACAATCTTCATAGAGTTAAAATACTCCCTAACCCCTTACCCTCACATTAACCATCACAATTAAAGTGCTAACCCTAACCTACCTCTACCTCAAAAAATAAAAAACAACTTTTGAACCCCAAACTGCCTTTTGCCTAAATCCTGGTTCTTTAAAAGCTGTCTGGCAACACAAATATCATTAGTTACGATGTTTATATCCTACAAATATAGATAAAACAAACAAACAAACAAACAACACACACATACACGGAGAGAGAGAAAACTCACAATGCTTGCCTCGCAGCGTGATCATGTCAACCGACCCAAGTATACACGGATAGCGCAAGTGTCATCAATAAAACTCGTGAAATAGTAAGAGAGACAATACCTGAAATACCTACAGTTAACTTTGAAGGGGTTGGTCTGTTTTCGCCTGGACATATTACTGCCCAAGCCGGTAGGAAAAATTGAAAATAAAAAAAAAATAAAAAAAAGAATATCCTAACCCCGGACGCTCCAAGTATGTTCCGGACAGAGGGAGCAGATGATGAAGAAAATAATAATATTTAAAAAATCAAATCGTTTAGATCAGAAACTGGGTCGTTTTCGGAGATTAAAAAATAAAAAAAAACCGGGCACATTTAAGAGTCACATTCTTGCGGTCTTTTTTGTTGTTGTCTTTTTTAAAAGCCCCTTCTTCAGCCGATTATCGGGTTAAGACGATGTCCAAGCCCGGACAGAGAGACTCCGAGCAGCTCCGAGCTGCTCCGATCCCGATCCGCTGGCACCCGCGCACAACTGCAGCGCAGCACGAGCTCAGCTGACATCTAAACGTAAAAGGAATGAAGCTAACGTCGAACAGCATTGTGGGATGTGTAGGGACGCAGGGGAGTTCAAGTGAAAGATACTATGCTGCATTCAGGTCGTGTGGGAGAAAAAAAACCCGACCATGTTCAAATATCAATTTAAAGTAAGTAAATTGCTGTGGGTGGTTTTGACGAAGCAATGATTCCTATGTAACTTTATAAGCTCTGTATAACCTGACAATGACACCTCAACTAATAACTAATAAATATCCATCCAAGGACTACTCAGCACATCACATCCCCCTACTCAGCACATCACATCCCCAATAAACACTATCATAAGAACTAGATAGATAGATAGATAGATAGATAGATAGATAGATAGATAGATAGATAGATAGATAGATAGATAGAAAAAACTTAAAAACAAACCCATAATCTGAAAGGACATTGAGGGATTAATGTGTCAAATCCTATTCTTAGGTTAAATTATTGTTCTAATCATATTCTTGTATTATGAATATTGTTATTAAATAGAAATTAATGTTCAAGCAATTATTTTGCACTTACACATTTGATAAGTCAGTTACACTTTTGAATTTATGTTGCCATTAGACAAAGAGTACAAACACAACATACAACGGGATGCTGCATCCTGTCACAGTGACAAAGTAAACTTTTTTTCCTGTTGTATGGCCAAATGAAGAAACTGACAACATACAGAAGCCTTCTAGAGTGATTCTGGACAACCAAATTAAAAAAAGAAAAGTACAGTATGCAACAAATAAATAGCACATCTTTAGATTTACAACAAACAAAAAACAAAATTGAAAACTGCAACGACTCAGTTCTGTTTAGTCACAGATATATACTCAGTATTTCTGTAACTTACATTATACAATATAAGTCTTTTGTTTTACACAATGAAATTATGTGAGAGCGGCAGTCCAGGGAGTGTGCTAGGGCCTCATAGGAGAATTTTTACAATAAATACACACATAAAAAATACATTCAATTGGGCATTTTTCGATTAACAGGGATATATTTTTAAGATTACCACTAAAGTGTATAGATAAACCTATAGGATAGAGGTACTTTATAGGCTAAATAAAATGATGATCCAGTCCTTCACTTTCCTTGAGTGAAGGGGTGGGGGGTGGGGCAGTTGTAGCCTATCCCAGTCAGAGTCAGGGTATACCATGGACAAGCTGCAAATCTATCGCAGGGCTAACCCATAGAGACAAATATTCAAACTCATATTCACACTTGAATTCACACTTTAATCTAACCCCATACATGTCTTTGACCTGGGGGAGGAAGTTAAGAGTTTTCGGAGAGTGAACCCCCAATACAGATGTGGAAAGAACATATAAAGTACATCCAGAAAGGCCTCAGACTGAATTTAAACCAAGAACCTTCTTGTTGTGAGGCGACAGTGCTATTTCAAATAAAAAAAAAAAAACATGAACATTTACTTTTTTTTATGCAAATTTTTTTATTCTAAAAATGCACAGAGATTCCTCCACTGATTGGACACTGACAAAGCTGAGGGTATTTTTCTGTTACAAAAGCCTTACTATTTCTGAGCCTCTCGCACAGTTTGTGATACCTTTGTGCTCCCTCTAGCCATAATAATAAGAAAAAGTAGTGCTACAATTGATCATGACACTTGTAATTTCATTTTCAACTCTCTTTCTAACTGCATTTCCTACAGTCAACACTAGATGTCGCTACAAACCGTTGGACTGTCAATGTCATAACATTGCATGTAGTCGTCATCACTGACTGCCACGAGTAAACTGACCGCAGCACCACATTGACCGGGTGAAAATGTACTCTTCCGCACGCTCGAGCGAAAATATGCCATCTCAACAAAATAATCTCGTCAGGTCATGAAATCGCCTTTGTGAGGCAAGTGGCAGATGACACACATTCAGACGCAAACGGCACGTCACGTTATCCACAGTTATTTAGATATCCAGTCAGTGAGTACAACGGGATAACATCAGCTAGCTGGCTAATGATAACAAGCCTAACGTTAGCCCATTATAGTTACTGTGAGAACGATGGAAGCGAACAAGCCACACAGCAATTAGTAAATGATAAGAAAGGGTTGAGTACAGTCACCTACCTACATCTCCCATCATAATGAAGACATAATTCAACTATTACCCATGTTGTCCAGTGAACATATGAGGCAGGAGTCTCGAGTAAGGGGCACAGACTGTGATTAAGTCCTCCCGTACAGCTAACGTTACTGTACGCTGATGATAAACTTGAGCTCTTCTTTCGCGAACCCCTTGCGATCTGTCAGTGTAACCCTCCGCCTGCGGTAGATGTGCTGAGGCTGGAGTAGCCACCATTTTGCATGTCTAGTGTGTTCCTCCCTCCATTGCTAATAGAGACGATTCCAGTCATTTTCTGGCATCATTACGGCTAGTAAGTACATCCTAGCAACAATATGTCGGCATAAATTTGGGGAAATGGCTTTGCCTGTGAGTAGTTGTCCGCGGTTTGGCTGTATTTACGTTGACAACTGTCACTGTGGCGCTGCATAGGAAGTCGCAGCCCTTAGTGCACCGGGGCTGTGCTAAGTTAGCTAGCATGTTTAGCATAGTTATAGCCTTGCTGGACTAGGGATGTGTAGCTCAGCAGTATGCTGTGTCCACTAAATCAAAGTCATCAAGGCAACGCGCAGTGACAATGTATTATTTCCTGTCTTTCTAACTAGCGGGCACAAGTTGCATTTAATTCAGAGAGTATTCGGTTAAGGTAATGAAGAAGCAAGCTAATGGTCAGGTGGCTATGTTAGCTTGATAATCCAAATGCCTCAAGAAGGCCTAAACTGCATTATGTCCTGATCAATCGGCGACCAGAGTCAGGTGTAATGGCCTGCCTCTGATTGTATACAGCCGATGATGTAAACTTCAATGTAATACAGCGCCAGCTAAGATGAAGCTACTCCTGTAGTGTCATCATGATATCTTGCCCTTTTAAGATGCTACTAAATTAGCTAGTTGTTAGCTGGCTCTTCAGAGGTGTGATTTGCGTTTTCTAAGTCATATTAAGCATGTGACACTTCACGGCGTGGTTATTAATACAGTTAGACTTTCCTAATATTTAACCAACTCTAAGCGTTTAATCCGTAAGTTAGAGTTTAATTGAAATACCAAGGAAGCTAACGATAGCTAGCTTGGTGTTCTGAGGACGTGGACTTGGGTTTTTGTCCAGTTTCGTGAGATGGTTAATTAGTGTTGACAAGCTGTTAAATGAGAAGGAAAGACCTAGACACGCGCTTTTTTTGTTTTTATAACTGCGTTGTCAACGTCCGAGTTTAATTCATTTTCCAGGATCACTTTGCATGTAAGTGTTAAGGAAGTCAGGTGCAAGTAGGAAGTGAGCAAATGAGGTGACGTACAGTATGGTGAATTCTCTACGGTTTTTGACAGGAGCTGTAAATTACGCCTCCACAAGCTTAGGTCGAAGTAAGTTCTTCAGGTCCACTGTTTGTGGCACCGACACACAAAACCAGTCTTGATAAACTACAAGCCAAGTGTATTGCAACGCCTTTGACGCGCAGTTTACTTTATCTGTATGCTTGACTTGGGCTTTCGAGGGACCAACTGTACTGATACGTTTGAAGGCCTAATGAAAATGAACCTGTTAAATGTATAATTTTACTTTCCTCACAGTCAAGTCACACGCAGTACTGTAGATTTCAGCCATATTCAGTTCCTACTGGCTTCACTTTGTAAAACTAAATATGCAGTATGTTGTCCTGCATTACCTTTTCTGTTTACATGTATTGTCTGTTATATGGGGTAGATTATTATTATTGTTATTAACTGTAGTTAGGTGAGAGTTAACGATAAAAAAGTCAGTTTTAGTTGTAGCAAAGGAATAGCCAGGATGCATTATTATAGAACGGCGCATAATGTTGTGCTTGAAACATGCAGTTATGACCTTAATTAAAAACACTTAACCGTTACCTCTAATAGCAGTGATGCCATGCATAAAATGTACTTGAGTAGGTGCATTATAAGCAGGGTTAGCGTGCATTAATCACACAGCACTGAAACAACTTAACATGATCACTGTGTCTGCATATCAGTGCCCCACACAATGTGAATCAGATAGCTCCAAGCTTTGCCTCAGGTTTATTTAAGATCTTTTGGTGTATTTCCAGTTTAGGATTCATTTTGACTCCACATCAGTGTCATTTGGCCAACCTAAGTACTGAGTGAGTTAGCACTGTCTCTGTGTCTTGTTTGGACAGAAACTGATTAGTCTTTATGGTTTTACCCTAAGTAAATAGCCGCACAAACTTAGTGATAAATAAGGTACTGTAAATGCCATTTGTTATTTTGTCTTTTTTCCTCCTCCTTTTAGCATTGGGGTTGTTGCACATTTTGCCTCTGATTAGTTTTGAGCAGGAAAAGCTTACCAAAGACCCGTTCTAAGCAGGGCTAGTTTCCAGCAGGCTTTGTCAATTTGCAGGCTGACAAAGCTAAATTAAGAAGTGCTTAGCTTAACTGACTCCAACTGATGGTGAAGGCACACACAGACCTTTGTAGATCTCCTGTGTACCTTCAGAGTCTCTGAATTTAAAGTTGATCTCATTATTGCCTCTTTGATGGCTCTTTTAATCATCAGTCAAAAAAAAAGCAATTTCTCTATTTTCAGTGTTGTCTTCAGCAGGTTAAGATCTTTTAAGTGGTAGAAGAAAGGCGTGGTAGCTGCAAACAGTAAAATGACTATTTGCAGTTGCACATAGATGTAGAAATCGGCAGGCTTTTTGATCTGTCTGATCTCTGCATGTTTGCTAAGAGAGGAAAACAAAATCTGGAAAACCATAAAGGTCTAGAGTGAGTACATGTAAAACACCCGACAGAATATTTTGACTATTACGAGTGCTTCTTCCCCGTACACAAGTACGGTACTCAACATTTGAATGTGCACATAGGAACCAGGGTGTAAATATAATCCATG